CGAGCGAAGCTGTCGCCGCGGCACGTCGCGGCAACGAGTTCAAAAAGCGCGGCCAACTTCCACTTTAATAAGACGCTGCTCCTTAAGAGTTCGAACCCGCCCGTTTCCTTATCTATCTATTCTCTCTCTCTCTCTCTTCCTTCTTTTCTCGCCCACGTTGTATTTTTATTACATTCATACTTTCTGACTTTCTGCATTTCCGATGCAGTCTCTGGCCACGGACGGACCATGCGCGCAAAGAGGGAAGTTACACGGAATATTTTTCTATTTCCTTCGTTCAATCGCGATCATTTTTCTTCTTTGACTCGAGTTGCAGCGGGTTGCAGCAGTGTGAAAGTTTTCATGTAATTATAATATATTGACTGATTATACAACGAAATTATACGGCGAAATCTTTCACGTAATCATATTATGCAAAAAGATGAATTTTGAACGATCCGATTTATAGTTTAATATTGCGCAACTGATTATGTTACGTACTAAATGATAAATAATAAAAGAGAATATGAATAATAACAAATAAATTTTAGATTGAAATTTTTACCGAAACAAACATAGGTGAGTTTTATGCACAGTCACATTTGCATGACTACACAACTAAGGAAATGGAACCTGAACGGACAGTAGTATTTAGTGTCATCGTACTATCTCTTCACAGAGAGACACAACAAAATTCAGATTTCACAATTTTCGTCAGTATTTCATTTTAATTTCAATATATCTTGTAAAAGAAAAAAGTCAAGTGAGATTCCACTGGACGTAAGCGATAGCTTGTGTCAGACAGTTTGAGGATGCGGGAAATTGCGTTCGCATAAATGCTCCCACGTATAGGAAATAAACGGAAAACGTTATATATCTGTCGTAACAATTTCGAGGGAATCAAAGAGGCAGTCTACGAGATGGTTATTTGGAGGGAATATTAAAGTCGCCGGTTAAAGAAGCTGCTTTCAACAATTTCCGGGAACTTTTGATAGGCAATGAAGCAATTTCATCCGCGTTTAGACGAGGATGTTATTTATTATGCCGCAGGAAATTTATCTGCCTTTGATCATAAAGAACGGCACTATTATTCATTCGTCCATGATGAAATATGCGTTTAATGCCGGGATGATGAAAGATCCTCGATTTTAGAAGCGAACGATTACTTGTTTATTGTTGCCTGTTATTATTGCTTGGCAATTTGAACAAAGTTTCCGTATCGAGACGGATATTAACGTTCTTGTTTCGTTTTCCTAAATACTAAATTCAAATAATATTTGACAGAGATTTGGAGGGCTATCTGACGTTGTGCAAATGAACGTTTAACATTTGAAATATTTAAGGTTCATCTTTAAGATTTGTTATTGGAAGAATCCTCTTACAGAGAATTTAGAGATTAATATTAGATATTCAAACTAGCTAAAGTTCATACTTGTTAGAAGAATCTTCTTGCAGTAATTGTAATTTGACATATATAATAATTATATATTATAATAATATTAATATATGTAATTATACATTATAATGATAATATTTAATATTTAGTGATAATATTAAATATTACGTATCGACAATCCATGGTTAAGAGTTTAATACTTGAGACCACCGAGACTTCCATAATAATCCAGGATATTAGAGTAACATGGTATCGGGAGACCCAACTATCGAAGTATCAAGATATCGAAGTGAATGAAGACATCTAAATGCTCTCAAGTCATCTTATTAGCTACTTACAGGTGAAACTTTGTTCGTCCGAACACGAGATCCTTCACTTAATCGAAAAATTCATTTGTACTCTCCTTGATAATAAGAGATACAGATTGATAGATTGATCAATTATGAGTTCGTATATCCGAGGTACCAAACTGTAATACATAGATATTACACAAGGTACCAAACTTCGAAGGGACCAATATCGAGACCAAAACGTCAGAGTGTTCGCTGTTATTAGAAATTAAATTAAAAGTTAAATTAAATCACATTGAATTAAGTGCGATTCAGTGCGACGTAGCGCTGGTATAGATTTCGTGATCGTTAGATTATTATTATTATTATTATTATTATTATCGTTTGATCGCGATACTTAGTTTATAATACGCTCGATTATAGAGGGTCACAATTATAGCGACATATCGTCGTCAGTTGATATTGAAGCTTCCTCTTCTAATTACTTTCTTTTCAATTAAATCACATGAACCTAACCTAACCTAAACCTAAAAATTGCATAAATATTTATTTACAGATATTTTTACATAATAGTATATTTTTACATAGCATAATCCAACACGGTTTTTTAACCACTGCTGGCTTTGCGCTGGCAACTGATTGCGGACCATAACGGGTGACCAAACCGTGTATAATAATTCGTTGCTTTTTGAGCTCGTCGGTACGATATCACTGGATAGAATTTATTGAGAAGTAGAATAAATTTATTATTTGTTTTACTTAAATATACTTGAAGCTGAGAAAATATTGCAATTTCAGGACAGAAAATTCTCGACGTGCGTGACACGTCATTCCAGCGCAAAAGGTTAAATAATTCCTAATTACTATAACGAAATGAAAAGCATCGACGTTGGCTGGTCCGGCAGAACAAACTGAATCGCCAGCCATCCGAAAACAGAGACATATCGTGGGTATCGAGCGAACAGTAACATAACCAGGAACTGGAGGCAGCGGTATCCGAAACAGGTTTCCGGGAACGGAAGCGGCAGCCGCGCAACGAAACAATTGAGGGGTGGAGATGCGGTAATTTCTCCGGCCGCGCGCGATCATCGATGAAGCTTGTGGCGGTCGTCGCTCACGCAATTCTGCCCTGATTAGCCCGATACGCGCGATACGCCGGCATATTTAACTAACTAATGCAGTTGCAAATTAGCTATTAGTAGGTGTTACACGCGGTGGCAGATAGGCGGCAGGGTAATCAAATTAAATAGAATAGTTACTGTCTCCGGTGTCGAGGGCGAAACTACATAACCCTGTTAGCCTAACTGCGCAAAGTGCGCGCGTACTGCTGGTATACACGCGGAATACACGGACGAGTGGCTCGGCGAGGAGTGAAGAGGAGAGAAGAGGAGAGGAGAGAGAGGCGCGTGCGTGCGTGCGTACGCGAGCGACGAGGAACGCGTGTATCAGCACGCCGCGCGAATAACACGTATAAACAGGGATGACGCGTAGGTGAAATCACGGTCGTGATCCCTCGGGGGTGGGATCTGTTATCAGTATCTCGCGCGTCTTCAGTGTCGGCGAAAATATTGAAACGTCTGTCAAAGACGGGGGGAGAAACGTGGCTGGGAAAATCGAGTTCGACGGGGGAATTGCTTGATACCGGAGGAAAGGAAGCTACTTTAGTTTCTCGACGCCCCGGCAGAAGTATCATCCCTCCCTCAACGCGTCCACGCGTCCCGCGTGCAAAGTATACGCAAATTCGATTTTATCGTGCCGCGCGCGTATCGCGCTACCTCTCTCGCGGGATTAAACGGCGGAACAGGTTAAAGAGAGAAAGAGAGAGAGAGAAAGAGAGAGACGTTAAGTCGATTACTCCTGTGCAGTTTCGCAGTGGAAAATTGGGAAATTACGGAGTCGTCGAGTGTGTTTCGCGATTTCGAATTTTCCCGTGGTTGTTCGTTAAAGGCAATCGAGTCCCGAGCGCGTGGAGATACGGGAGCCGGTTGAAGTTGGTGTGAAAGAGATGTCCACGATTCAACCCTGTCAGAGTCGATTTCAACGTAAACAAATTTAATATTTTAGTAATGACTAAAAATGCAACTTTTGCAATGACAGCGGTGCCTATTATTTCTGTAGAAGCCCAGAATGCTTAAAGAAAAATTAAGACAACCCGATTTCCTATATGATCGATCCTAAGTTAAGGTAAAAATGAAAGATTTGCCACCTGAATTTTTAGAATTGACTACTCGACTGAAACGTTTCGGAATGGTTGTCTGTGAACGCCTTAGGCAAATGTTTGCACGCGATTGAACAACTATAGTACATTTGCGTACTGATGTAAATGCTAGAAGTACGCTTGATAGCGATGTAGCACAAGCACAAAGGACATAGGAACCGTTCTGTGTTACCAGAACAGAATTAGCGCACGAAACGAACAGAAGGCTTGCGGAACATTAGTTATTATTATCATTATACTGGAACTTCACGGAGGCCACGGTTAACCGATTAATCGTTGTTAAACTCGATAAATATGGTTGAGCTCGTGGAGCGTGTGCACGCATAAACGGACGGCCATGATTTGGTATATTCTGACACAAGCAGAAGTTGTTTGACGTGCATAAAGTGATAATCTCCCTCGTTGCGTTGGTTCCACAAAGTGACGAATTATAAGATTATAAGGAAATGCGTTTATAAAGATTATAAAAGCAAATATACATTAAAAGTATGTTTCGTTACCTATTAGATTTTTAATAATCTGTAGCCTTTATCTTAATCCTGTATCTTTTGTACGATTTAAAACAAAAATTGCGGTTGTTGAAACACACTGGAAAAAATGTTGTCTCGTGTCTTTTACGTATTATGTTTAAAACAAAAATTACGATTGTATTTGTTGAAATATGATAATGACTTTCAGCTTTAGTAGCTCAGTCAGAGCTACTAAAGTTATTAGGATTACTCTCTATACATACTCTATGAATCGCGTAACATGCACACTTGAAGCAACTTTTAAATTATGCGTCTAATGAAAAATTGTTTAATACAAAAGTGGTATTGTTTTAAGGAAGGCAAAATATGGCGTATACAAAACATGACAAGATACTCGTAACCACGAGTAGCTGAAGTATTATTTTTATATTAAATTGTACGTATATTAAAATTTCTTAGCACTCTAGCTGCAACTTTTACGTTTCTTACGTTTTTCGATAAGAAAAAAAATTTGGTAGTGTAATTCGACCGAAAGGAATAAGAGACGAAGGAGATTTTTGGCAGTAAACACGAGCGAAGAAAGGCCCGAAGCCTATCATCGTTTGATGATATCAACGCATGAGTATATTCACGGCGTTTGTACGAACCTGCGAGAGTTGCTCTGTCGTTGCCTCGGTCGCCAATCTGGCCAGACCCTCCTCGTACCTTTCCAAGGCCGTCAGTCTAAGCAGCAAGTTTTGCAGCAATGCCGAAACTTCCTGCCTGGCCGCAGCGTCGACCGCAGCGACCTTCTGTGTGATGGACCTGACGTGGCCCATCACCCTCTCGTCCCGGAAGTCGTACGGGAATGTTTCCGTCCATTCGGCTAGCAGCTGCACCAGTCGCGGCACGAAACGCTGCAGACGTTCCTGGAACACGCCAGACAGTTTCCAACTGGGCCTCTCTACCTCTCTTTTTATTAGTTAGTCGCTACATGCGTTGCCAAACAAGTTTCAAACGAGGTGAGGAAATTAGCACGCTGGAGAATACGCGTACGTCAAACGAATCGGTTAGGATCTTTCAGAATTAGGATCCTCTGGCTGCGAAGACTCAGGTTCTGTCTTCACTGTTTTGCTCATGCGACCGATGTAACTATTAATTGAAATAAAAATCCCAAAGGAAAGAAGATGATCTCTGCGTGTCCCGCGTTCAATTTCATTTGAAGTTTTAATATTTTCAATTTCATTTATAATAATAACAAATAATTGAAGATTTTAAATCAATCAATTCAATTCTTTATTAAATTTTAAATTTTTCACTTTTTAATGAAACACCGAACCATCTTCCTTCGAGTCTCGCCGTCTCTCCAAATCCGCAGACGACATGGGAACCAAAAAAAAAAAAAAAAAGAACCAGGAAGAAGAATCCTTCGTTAAGTGCAAAGAAGCATAAATTCGAATTATAAAAAAAATCGGGCGCGGAGAGGGAAGAAAGAGGAAGAAAGGAAAGAAAACAGAAACAGACAAAAAAATCATTAAAGACACGAAGGAAGATAACGGGAGGGAATGAAGAGAAAGAGAGAGAGAGAGAGAGAGAGAGAATATCGCCAGGGTGGAAATTCATTTGCGAGCGAGACACTTCTGGCCTGGATACGCGTGCTCGTTATTACAACGCGGAACGAGAGCGAGCGTGCCACCCCCGGTGATTCTCCCCGAGAGAAGGAGGAGGAGGTGGGGTGGTGAATGCGAAAAGGGGGTCGGTAGCTTGCGAGACGATGAAACGATAATGCACGCGGTGGCCGTAAAGTGCACGCCTGGAAGGCTCTCGCTGGGCTTTTGTGGCACGTCGGGATTCGCGGGGCTCACCTTGCCACCCTCTCCATTCAGGTTTTGCTGATGTTCGCAGAGGGCGCAGACCTCGCCGAGCAGCTCGTGCGGCTTGATGAAGAGTCTGGCGCTCAGCAAAAAGGCGAAGAGGTACGCCCGATCGGGATAATATTCCTCAGTGGGCACCATATGCTGCACCAGGGCTTCCAGCGAGCCCGACACCAGATTCCCGTCCCGATAGACCAACGCCTGAAACGAAACACACACCCGTCTTTGGTTAATTGATCGTGACTGCTTCAACACTGTATCGCACGCTCCCGCGTCGACTGCGACAACGTTTCTTTTCTTCCAGTAAAATGTCTCTGAAGGGCTAATGGATTTTCGATATTAATGGCCCGGTAATTTAAGCACGATAAATGCAAGATCAACGCGTACCCTCCGTTGAAGTTACACAACTGCGAGCAATCGCATATTGGCGAAGTATAACAATTGATACGGCTTAGAAGAAAGGACATGGCTCATCGGGTTTTCGTTAATTCTTGCAGCGGTGATTTATTTTCAGATTGTAGATAAAGTTTTTCCACCGCTTCGAGAAAGTTACAAACGAAGTCACAGCAGTTTTAATTGCAAAACGCGATAATTGTAATAACGAGCTAGCGAGTGATGCGCATTTGACGTATTATAGTATACAAGTACAGTTGCACGCGTGTAACAAATACGCAAATCAACATATTAATAACGTTATCATTAACCGTTACCATTATTACGTACCAATTCAATGGGCATGTATAGTTTATATTACAATTTATACTACTGTTCGCAAGTCTAAGATTAATGACACGTATCGATACTTTAATCTCACAAATTTAGGATTAGTAAGCAGTTGATATCTGTTGCCCGAGAGCAAACGGAACAAACTAGGATTAACCTAGGATCAGCCGATTAGAGGGAAGTGAGGTTGCGAAACAAACACGTGATCACCAGCTTTCCAGTTCTTTTGGATATCTGTCAAATTTAGCTTCGTTGTGAAAGATCAACCTTCTAGACCAATCTTTTCAAAATCAGGCTGTACAACAGCTTTTGTTTGCTTAGATATTAAATTCCTTAATTTCTGTGAAAATTCTGTGAAAACCAACAAATTTCTGTGAAAATTCTGTGAAAACAGCTCTAAATGTAACATGTCCTACTGTGAAATGGTTGTTCAAGAGACTAGAAGAAAATGAGAGCTCTACGATTATTAAAAAAAAAAGAGAGGAGAAAAAAGTATTTTAAGTAACAAGTTGAAAAGTAGCAAGCATTTCAAGTAAACAGTAAATTTCCACTTGGGTACAATCGTCGGATGATTAATAAAAGCAATTGGCTCGGCGCGAACGATTCACAAATTACGAAACGACAGTTCGCGTCGCGTTAATTCTTGCCGAAGCGATATTTAACGACAGATTAATGCGTTATCAGCAAATATATTAATTAAAGTAACGTCGTCGCTGCGCTATTAAATATGCTGATGTATAACGCCGGATCTGATTGCGTAGGAAATACGCAGTCGTTCGATAATATCGTTAAAACCGATATATAACAGGGAGATGAGGCAGGATTTAAATTCGTTTGAATCACGCAGAAAAGGGAGAGAGAGAGAGAGAGAGAGAAAAGGTTCTCCCGAATGAAAACTGGTTTCCTCGCGATTTTTCTCGTTATCGGCGACAGGCTAAACGTAAACGTAATAATCGTCGAAATTTTACAGGTCACGATCCCCGTTCGCGAGCTTCAAACGACAGGTTCCCAGGTCGTATTTTGTAACTTTATAACCGCATAAATATCTCGCTTTAAGCCAGTCGCGAGTGAAAAGTGAAAAGCACAATGAACGAAACTCTGTTTTTCGCGCGAGAATTCTCTCGATTTTATTGTGGTCTGTACGGTTTTACTGCATTCCTTAATGGTTTTGGACTTTCACGCGGAAAATTCTTTCAAATTATTAATTTTTACGAAGCGTCGAACTCAATGTTTTTAAATAGAACATAATGTTAAAAGTATTCGTACACTGATGAATTCTAAACATTTTCATATTGAATGAAGTATATTTTGAATCGTAATCACTCATAAAAATAAAATTGTCTTCAATCCCCATTTTTTCAACACTAGAAAAAAGATTCTATTTTAAAATCGCAATACAAACACGCTGGTCTATTATTTCATTAATAAACTGTAATGTGCCAACATCATGTGCACTCATACAACCTCAAATAATTAGGGAACCATCACCGTGTTTCACAGTGAGTGGCAATTTTTTGGATTAAGTTTTACATTTGTTCTCCTCCACACAGTACAATGTTGCATCAAAATTTACTGAAAAACACTTTACGCACCCACCATAAATCAATATTTAAATCAGAAGGTGAACATGACCATTTCAAAACGATTGTCCTAATTATTCTTCAAGCAATGACCAATGAATATTGTACTGTTTCCTATCATTCCTTTACTCTTAATGTTTGCGACGGTTTGACAGGGTCAGAATACTTTCTACACCCATTGTAAATCAATATTTCGATCAGAAGATAATCATGACCATTTCCAAACGATTGTTCCAATTATTTTTCAAGCGATGACCAACGAATATTACGTCTATGGTCCCTTTACTCTTAATGTTTGCGAAGGTTTGACGAGGTCAGAATACTTTCTACAGCTACTGTAAATCAATATTTCGATCAGAAGATAATCATAACCATTTCCAAATGTTTCTTCCGACTATTCTTCAAGGGATGAGCGAATATTGTGCCGTTCCCTATGGTCCCTTGCTTCTAATGTTTACGACTCCTAAGGTTTAACGGGTCAGACGAGAAACTCTTGGAAGTTCTGTACGTGTACGAAATCGGAAATTCGTTTCAACGGGGACACGGTCGAATGCCCGGAGCTTTTCACTCGAGCCTGGTAACAAAGTTTCTACCTGTGCCCCGTTAAATCTGCGAGCCATTAAAGTTGCGCGGACCAGCTAGGTAAAGCCCGAGCCCGACTCGCCGAGGATTCAAATGGCTTAAACTTATCGCGGGCTAATACAGTATTGACGGGGCAGGATCCCAACCCGTCGTGGAACTTCCCATCGGCGCGGAATCGCGAAGAACACCGGCCCCGCCGAAAAAAGCTCGCCGCTCGCTTCGTTCGAAAATTTGCGTCCCCAGACAGAGAGCGAGTCTCGTTGGACTCGTCGAATGCAAATGAACCACTGTCGCGTGACTCGCCCGGGGAAATCTTGCGAAGTTCCTTTTTTGTCAAAGCCAGTTCTCGCTTGGATAATTGCAGCTCGCATTATGGCAAACGGAGGTTGATTGGAATTAGCGAGCGCGGGAGGAAACAGAGGACGATTGAAAGAAGCTCTGCGCTTGGCGGTACGGCGAAGAGCTTAATTGAAACAATGACGGTGAAAAATCGTCGAGGATACTTTCGACTGCGAGGATACTTTTCCTTGAAAGTCGTAAAAATTCGAACGTGCGTCGGAAACATTGGAAAATTGTCTTCACGACTGGATCCACCGTTCATTTTCAAGACTGAAATCTTCTTTTTCATAACGATCTCTTAAAACTCATTGTACGGTTTATCGAACGTTGAATATTAAACGAGAATCCAAGAAATTCAAGAAACTTAACCGCTATGTCTACAGACCACTGAAAATCATACAGAGAGTTTTAAAGACTCGTTGTGAAGAGAAAATTTCAATCTTTGAGATGGTGTTGGACTTTGCCAGGGAAAATTTTTTTTATTGTATTTACACGTTTTCGAGTTTTTAGAATTTTTGATAAAAAGTTCTACTTATTACACGATATGAAAGGATCTTTGAAAAGAAAAAGAAATTAGAACCATAAAAGTAAAAATTATATGATTTGAAACAAAACTAAGTAGATCATTAAATGAGATATTTCTTTACGAATTCATCATCAGAAATCATTCAATTTCCCATCGTCACTGTTCAATGATGCTCTTCACTGTACGTCCGATACAATTATATTACATATTTTTGTGCACATGTATATCTACATTCACAGATAATTCTAACGAAACATAAATTGAAACTTCAAAGTGAAATTCACAATTTAACTATAATATATCCTTGTTAAAATACGCGTCATCCTTCGTCCCAAAATATTTCACATCGGCAGGCCGAAATAAGTTGAAAATTTTCCAATTTAACAACATGTCGCACAGTTACGATTCACTGTGCTGGCTTCCCAACTGGCGAGCAAATTGGAAGAATCGAGGAGATCGCGAGGACTCGCCAAAGAATTCAAATGGAACTCCACTTCGGATAAACACGAAAAGAATCGAAAGAGAGTCGAAAGAAAGATAGAGAAAAATGCCAAGTTAATTTCGGAGAAAATGATCAATTCAATCCAAGCAGAAGCTCGTCTAGAGTCCATTCAGACATCCTTTGCGTCTCACCGCAAAAGCGACCCCCCCCCAAATTCACCCTAGTCTGACTCCTTCCACTAAACAATTACCTCGGCGTACCTCGTCCTTCCTCTAATCGTTCTCTGCGCCAAGGCTATGCAATGACGCACGAAGTACACCCCCCTCCCCCCACCCCCATTTAGGTGGGGGCTGTTTTTTCGAGGTCGGACAATGGCGGCGCGCGTTTAATCGCGAGAGAAGCCCGCGAAACCGGGTCCCCAGCGCCGCGTTTTAGCTAAACTTTTGTCGTCGCCGTAACAATCGCGGCCATTCAGCGTCCAGCATTCTGTCTGTTTCTGTCCGAAAAAAGAAGAAAGAGAAAGAGAAAGACGAAAGAAGAGAAGGAAGAAAACCAAGGGGGGGAAGGTAGAAGGAAGAAAGAAGAAAGAAGAATGCGCGCGGGTCCACCACCGTTATAAAAACATTCCAACGTCATCGGACTATCCGACAGCTCCTACGAACCGCGCGGCCAGACCGTTTTTTGTTTTCGCCGATCGATCCTGCTCGCCGCGAGCCACCCCCTGCCACCAGACACCATTTCTCCTTTCCACTTTTCGCAAGTCCGTGCTCAAACCGCTTTTGTTTCGCGCCCGGTTTGGTTTCGCGTCCAAGGGGAAACAACCCTTGGGGATGAGTTAACGAAGCCTCTCGGCAGCCGTCAGCTTCATAAGTAGAATAGCGAAGATATTATATAGAGAAATAACGAAACGCCACGGCGACTCCTCGAGTGTTTATATCGATGTCCGTTTCTTCGAAATTTAGTTCATCATTCGTTTGAAACTGGTGGATTTCTTTTAGCTGCGACGGGC